TTGATAACATTGATGGTCTCTCTTTTTCTTAGTGCATTTTGAATGTAAAGAAAACTATTCAGTAGATAAAATTGAGATATTTTGATTCATGAAAAGACCAAACGTGCACACCTCTTCTGTTTGGGACCCTTGAGCATTCTTTTCCAAAACTATGAAACTAGTTATACAACCACTAATGACTTTAAAAAGAATCAAGACATTGATATTGAAACATTTTCAGATAAGACGAAAATTCATAATAGAAATGTTTGCATAAGGAAATGGGAATCTGCTTACCTATGAGCTCTTCAAAGGGCAATAATACAGTGTATCTCAAAAGTCTATTCCCAAAATTTTTTTTGCATATCTGTACTATTCTATCAACTAACTTTTTAACTGATAGGTCCATGCACTGAGTTTTTATTTATACGAGCAAACTTCAAAAGTACCTATAGAAGCCATCATCTCTCATTGAAATATCAAAATTTAGCCCTTTCTCTATAGGTAGAGTGACATTGTACAATGATTATTTTTAAATTACTGCGGTTTCTTAGATGTTATTCACAGGCTCACTCTCTGCATTGGTTAATAAACACAATTGACGTATATGGAATCATAATGAACCGTGTGCCGTTTCGAATTTGTGATACACTCACTGATACTCTAAAAGCTAATTGAGAATTGCACATCTGTCGTACACAATCTTTCTCAGTCAACTTTTGATGTCGTGCAGAAATGCAAAGTTCGAAGTCTCTCTAAAAAAAAGCTTCTTTCTTTAACTCCTATCATGATCGATCACGCTGAGTAGGACGATAGTAAATCCTATTGAAAACCAATTAAGCTCATTTATTGAATATTTAAACATGAAATTCGAACTTAATGTCTTTTGTTACAGATGAATTTTGATAATAATGTATTGCTTTTAGGAAGTATCAGTTAGAGTCCTGAGCGGGTCCAACTTCTCGTACTAGAAGTCTGCCAGAGAAATGCTGTTACTTAATTAGTTTTAAGAGCAATTGAATGAATATTTCCATCTCAATGATAATGAAGAGTTATGGTAAAATATCAATTAGATGTGAAGGAGCTTTTCAGTGATTCAACGTTATACCAATCATTTTGAAATTTTTCAAGTGTTTAGAAAGAGATGAAATCAATTTTTTTCAAAATTCGACTAAACAAGTACAACAGTAAAAGGCTGATAAAGAAAAACACCGTTCATACCTTCAGCGTATACTATCCTCTACGTGAAATAATTGTTGGATCTGAAACAAATGAGAAAACGTCAATTGCTGTTGTAAATTTTCGTCCAACATCAAAAAGTGCTTGACAGAATAATTCAAAGCCTATACCAAAAACCAATACATAAGGTCTCATAATGTCTCTAAATCTTTTAGCACACGTATGAATAATAAGTTATTAACATGCGAGTACACACTTCTATTTGGGCTTAATATAGTTTCAATGCTATATATCGAAGAACCAGTTGCATCTTTACACGAAGATATATCAGTTTTGTGTATGCTTGAAACAGTATTTTTTGGTTTATAGACGAGCACTCCATGCATCATATGCATTTTACAGAATTAATGATTTTATCCTCAGTGTCGCATATACTTGTTGATAATAGACGATTACTGATTAATGATTAGTCAAACTGAACTAAGAAAGTGCAACACTCAATGACGAAGACGACACTGCAGAATACCCGTAGATAACTTTTGATGGCCAACATCAATATCGCAATAAAGACTAGGATACATTTCATGAAAAGCTTTCTGATTATATATTTTCCAATTTCATTTCAAAACTATAAGTAGATGATTGGTCGTTTTCTTTGACAACGTTTGTATTCAAAAATTATTTTGACAACTATTTGAAGTGCAAAAAATATATAGAAGCTACAAGTATGATTAAATAACACAATCGTTAGAGTAGAGAATTAATATTGTTAGAAGCAAATATAAAGCGCGTTAAATTGTTCTTATTTAATAAATATTTTTTCATATTAGCAATAACTGATTCAACGAGTTTTGATGATATTGATTTGATCAAGGACGGCTGAATCCGAAGATCGATAGAATGTGAATATGGCACGGACAGCATCCAGAAGTGTGAGAGTGCCAAAACCTAGCTCAGTAATGATGCGACAAGATTCGTTCGATATCTGGCTAACATTTTCGTTGCCCTCTAGATTACCAATAGCACCATTAGTCAGATAGACTGGCCCGTCTGGATTGATATAGTCAGTTGTGTTGATGGTACCTGCAAAGATTCAGCACAAACAATTCTTTTTATAGTTGATTGTCAGATTGTCGACAAATATGTTTAACTATTTAAACAAAATTGGTCCCATGCTTAACAGTAGTTTTTGTATATGTACAACAATAAATTATCAACTCTTGGAACTTTTTGGCTTTTCTCACTAGTTTCGACTATTGCCTTTTTTCATAAATACCTCAGTTATTCCTATTTCTCGATTACATTGTTACGAAAGCCCTGCTTCTTACTGGGCTTTCGTAACCAACCGTTACGAATCGTTACCTTCCCGAATTTTCAAGTGGGTGTTGGTTATATATTTTTCACTGCGTTTCCTATTTTATCTTTTTTTTTGTAATACATATAAATAGATATTAGATAGCATATAATATTATCTTCTGACTTTCTCTCTTATTCTTTTCTAGTGTCCGAAGTAATCGAACAGAACGAAAAAGAAAGTTATTTCTTCTTGTTTTTTTCATATACTCGCACATTCTCTTTTTCATCTACGCATTTGTATTATATCTCGCTTTTTGAGTAGTTGAATATATTCAATGAGAAAACCTACTTTTAATCACCAATTTTTAATCGAGTTGTGATTTTTCATTATATGTACAGGTGTGACTGTGTGTTGACGTGAGATGTCGATTGGTTTGGTTGTAGTCGTAGCTAAATAGAGAGCTCATAATAACAGTCACACCCTCACTCTAAATTCACGTTTTCTAAATTTAATTAGAAGTGAATTCAAAATATAGTAAAACAGGCCTTTTTCAATATTTGTTGCGTTCACAAATAAATACCACTGAGATCAACATTGCATTCTTAAATCAAGTCTAAATTCAAGACTCATGATTGTCAATAATTTTCAAAGTATATCAAGCAAACAATAGATTTCTACCTGATTTGTTGTAAAAAAAAAGCTCGCCGTCAAAGAATAAATTGATGATTACGTATCAAATAACGAAAATTTTTTAGCTGTCTAAATACGTTTTTGGAGACATGCTACACTGTTTAAAAACCGTTTGCTTCAATCTTCCTTTGAAAAGTTAGTTTACACTGACGTTGAGCACTATCATACTATGAGATGTGACCGAGTTCCGTGAGTTCAGGAGTTCCATGCTTTCTGTGAGCTCTAAGAGTTCAGTTATTCCTCTAAAGTTCTGAACTCACAGAACTCGAACACTGCTGGAGTAGAACTAAAATTGTCAATTTACTCATGTAAACTATTTTACTTGGAAAATCCAATTTGATGAGAATAGGGCCGTATAAATGAATCCATATCCGGAAAAAAATACAAGATTGTAGATGAACGAATTAGAAGCGCTTAAAATTTATGAATTCTGTGCGAACTAGGTAATTTCATATAAAAAATAGTCTATAGTTTTGTAGAGAAACGAATTCCACATAGAATGAGCTCAAAAATATGTTTTGGGTATGAGGTGTGGATATGAATGTGGTTATAGGTGTTGATTTGAGCCATAATGGCGCAAAAAGGTGTCCACCCTGACATCTACAAGTTATATCCACACCCACACCTAACTACATTTTCTTGCATATGTTTTGTTGATATTTTTGCAATAGCTTTGATTATAAGTCATTAACTGTACTTTGAATTGTTCGAGAAAAAATAGCTATGATTATACCAGCTAAATATATATATGTGAACACATAAGAGTTGGTCATATGCATCTGACTTACATTTCATGTATCGTAATAATATAATTACTCTCATGTTGTTGATTGTATAGGTTTGAAATGTAAAACTTAATCGTCCGTCAGTTACAACATGAATATATGAGTAGTTCTTTTTTTTCTTTTTTTGTTCATGATGACGACGATGATGTAGAAACGCTGCACGAACCGTTGCTAACTTTCTTTTTATGTATTCTGATGCTTTTTTTTCTTCTTCTAACAGTTGTGCTCCTTCTTGAATTGTATTCAGCGAAGAAAACAGTGAAACGGTAGGTAGGAGGTGCATTTTTTCTCTAGTGTTGAGAAATTACTTTTTTGCATTAGCAGCACGTACGAGTTGCTTTTAAGAGCTCTCTCTAGGTGACTATGAAAAAAGCTACACTACAACAGAAATGAGAATTAACTGTCTTTTTCAATAAATAGAATCCTGATTTGCATCAATTATATTTAAGTCGGTTCTTGCTTCACAATCACAGTATTTGCTGGTGCTCTCTGTAAAGAAAATAACAAAATTACTTCATCGTTGTATTTAAACGAAGTAAATGCATCGAGAAATAGGTATGTAATCATTTTTTCTTCACTCTTTCTTGTTTTCTGTTACATATTGAAAAATAACATAGAGAGCATCGTACAGTTTCAAGATCTGCTGTCTTGTTAGATGAAAATACAATCAATATCAATTCTTTGAAATCAGACTCGAATTCCAAGTTTTCCATTCGTATCTGTGTTACTAGTTTATTACAATGAATCGATTGACGATTATTGATCAAGAATGTACTCGGATAAAAAAACAAGGTGTATTGATGACCAGCAAACAGTTAACAACATCTTTTGATACTATAGTATCCGAACTGAACAAGAACAATTTATTATTTCATGTTGAAACAATACAAAATCTGGTGACCTCCATCGCACTTTTCTCTGGCAACAATCGGAAAATTTTCGAACTTAACCTACTCGACCATCAACTTTTTTATATTATTCGTGATTCTTATGTAAATATCCTATGTCATTGTCGAAGTCGTCAAATACTCGACAATTCTTCTCGTGAAATTTTCTCTCAAATATCTACTATGTTCGCCGATATGTGCTGTCGTGCTACTGATGCTGATGTGAGTCCACTAAAACGACTTCTCATTTATAAAAATCTTATGAATGAACTCAAAGAAATTCTTTTCGAAATTGCAACAACAGGCAAACATCTGCACGATACCTATATTGAAGCTATTGATTATATGCTTCGAGCGATTCATTATTTGCAGAAAGGTCGAATTGAAATTCAAAAGGATCCTTTGCTTTGTGCATTACTCATTGCCGTTGTCAAGTGTGTATGTTCAATCTATTTTATCGATATGTTCAAAAAAGTAGTTCGACTGGAAAAACTCGATAAGGCACAGACATTTATACTTGATACATGCACTGATTACATCCGTTGGCAAGAAACTGATCAATATAATGAGACATGTGTATCTGTTCGAACTGCTTTATTAAGAGATTTTACTATGTGGCTACAAGATCAGGCACTCTCTTTTCGACAATGGAGTAAAATAACGATTAAAATCATGGATCAATTATGTATCACCCTCATTCACGGAAACGCTCAAGATAATGATACTTACACTCAAGATATTCGTGATGATTATTGTAAGATGATTGACATCTTTTTTATGATTCTTGGCTTCATAATGAAATCAGATGCGTTCAATGAATCTACTAAAGCCCTAACGAAAGTGTTGACTCAAGGTCTGTATTCATTAACAATGACTAATGATCTACGGTCATATATGAAAAGTAAACAAATAATTTCATTATTATTAAAAGTGGCCAGTATTGAAGATGAAATGACACGATTCAATGTCTATCGTATTTTGGCTTCAATTATGACCGAAGAAGATATCAAAACATTAACAAATCCGAGTGCTATTGCCAATGTTTTTCTTACATTCCTTACCAAACTTATCGATGATTCAAGTATGATACCACGATTTCACAATCTACTCCGTAGTCTCAAGAGTAAGTGGAATATTTATCTATTCATTCAAAGGATAGTATTGATTCTAAGAGAAGTATTCTATCTTATTTAGTCTTAGTTCAACATGATCAAATTAAAGAAAATGTAACAAAACAAGGAATGTTGCCTCTTCTTATTCGTTGTGCAACACAGACTAAATTTGATTCTATCAAAGCACGTCAACCAGCTCTCGAAATCTTACTTGCTCTTACATTCAACGATGAAGCAGCTAGTCAACTTAAACAGAACTCAGAATTTATTACAAATCTGAAAATTATATTAACCACATCGACTGAATCTGGTCTAAAAAGAGTGGCTGAAAGTCTCATTTGGAAGTTAGAAAAAGAGAAAACAGCTATTGCAATGTATCATGCAATAGGCTCTACGAATTACACATATGATATTATGTTGAGCTATTCACACAGTGATCGGGATCTATGTTATCGTATTCATGATCGACTTATCAAAGATAGTTTTCGTGTATGGCTCGATCGAGATTATATGTACGGAGGAACTATGATTGCGATGGCTAATGCTATTGAAAATTCCGAATTTGTACTGATCTGTATGTCCGATGCATACAAACAGAGTGCTTATTGTCAATCCGAAGCACATTATGCTTTTGAACGTCGATGCTGTTTAATCCCACTTGTGATGAAATTAAACTACAGACCAGATGGATGGTTAGGCATGATAGCCACTGGAAAGATATATATTGATTTTCCAAAACTTGGATTCGATATTGCTTATGACAGATTGAAAAATGAAATCGATCACAATCAAAAGAAACGAAATCATTCGACTACACCGATGAAAACCATACAACATAGTGTAGCATTTACAACAAGAGCAACAGAATCCAAGAAAGTAATCACAAAATCTGAGTTTGACGCTCAGTTACGGCTAGTCAAGTAAGTTCTCACTGAACATTCTCATAATTAATATCCATCGGTTTGATGAAAACGGCATGTCTTTCAACAGAAACACACTCGAAATGCTTTTCATTGGTTCAAGTTTAAAAATTTTGACAATTATAGTACACATATGAACTCTGTATGTGCTCAGCATTGAGTATAACGCTAGGTTTTATATGGAACCGAGATTTTCAGGCTAAGAATAACTCAAAGAATAGAGTTAAAATTTATAAGATAAGACATGATATGATTCTCTGTCGCTCTGAATAAGTGAAAAGCTAATAATAAGTAAATGATCTTTGATTTTTACATTATCTTTCCCTTTGATGTTTCAAAAAAGAATGAAAAACTCATATTGTCTTGTATTTCTTTTGATTTTGTTTATTTTCAAGAAATTACCCACATGATGTTAATCTTTGGACAAAAGAGCATGTTCAATCATTCCTAATCAACGAGAAACTCGATAGTTTGATGCCTGTTTTGGGCAACATGAACGGACGTCTTCTTTATGAAGCATATAAAAGATGCAAAGCAAATTGGGAGCCATTATTTCAAATATTCAAGTCTGAAGTGGCGGCCGACAATGAACAAAAAATTCTTACTATCGAGACTTATATTCGTTTTCTTGATGAAATTGAAAAGTATATTCCAATAGTGTCGGAAGATATTGCACACTCTTCATCCCCAACATCTGCTTTTTGCAATCTTATCTGAAAAATAAAGAAAAGTAAATTTTTCTTCTGTAACACTCAAGACTTTGATTAACATAACAATCGGTGAAATGATGCTCAGTCTATCTTGTCTCACTTGTAACATTTGTTTGATTTTGTTTCCATTTTCTTGAAAACCGTGTGACTCTAATTGAAAGCGTCCGTCTGTGATTGACAAGTCCAAGATATTCAAAGGATCATTAAACTCTATTCATGGACAATATGTTATCTTGAAATTTCTTCAAGTAACTATCCTGTATATTCCTCTTCAAAGAACATAAGTCTAAAGAATGTCATAGAAATTCTAATACATTTTTAACATTTATCATTCTCGCAATCAACAGAGGCAAAATTTTTGAAAGTTTGGCAGAGAATCGAACATACTTAGTGCTAAATAATTCCAAACTTTCAGTTCTAAAACTTGTACTACGGACGAGAATCAGTAGCAACACTAGCATTTATTATTTTTTCATTTTTACTGATCGTTTTGACTACTATTTAAAAAAAGGCAAATAAATGAAAGTAAAACGAAATATACAATAATAAGTATCAATGTTCGCATAATTGATTACCATCTTGATCAATTATGAAGTTTAATCGTACTAATATTTTATCCACCATTTGTTGACATAATAAAACATTAAATTTATTCCGATCTATTTTAATGCCGTTTTTTAGTTGTTCAACATTATTGTATTCTTGTTCTCGTAGTTTCTCTTTTAATGCACCGTAAACGTTTTCGATAGATCAAAGGTCGGCTAATTTTACGGCACAATTGTATGGTTCAATACCATGTAGAAACATTTGTTTAATGGCATCTAAAGCCACCGGCATCCTGTGTTTACGATCTTGATCATGTTGAAAAGTAAAAGTCGCAAATGATGTAATTCTTAAGCTACTTTTTCTACTATAATAGTTTGAGTCATTTTTGTATGGCTGTCACTAATAAAATAAATTTTCTTGCGACGATCATGATCTCTTGATTTGATCAGCTCTAACCATTCATCCATGAAAATCAAAGATTTCTTCGATAATAATATTGGGTAAGCAATGCCATCCCATTGCAAAGACTTATTTGAAATTTTTCTTTTGATCTAACTTTTAAATTATGTGCAACGAAAGAGGTATTTGAGCATGAATACCGTCATTATGTTGATCACATTGTCAAATCAATGTAAACGTACCACTGAAATCGGTGTTTAAAACATGATTCCATTTATTTGATTTACCTCTATTCTTAATTCCATAATTTTTTCTTAGTTGTTTGGAATAATGATGATCTATGTATATTTGTCATTAACACAAAAAGAAAAGAAAATATTTTAGTAAAAAACTTTTCTGTTCTGACACGGGTTAGGAAAAGTGGCTCTGTAAATAACGTATTTTTGCCATTTTTATATCGAGTCTTATCATTTTTAACTTTTGGAAAATGCAAAAAAAAAGTTACATGTTAGGGGTGTTGCTGGTTCTTATCTGTAGTACAAGCTATAGACTTGAAACTTTGAAATTATGTAGTCCTAAGTGTGTGTCCAATTGTCTGCCAAACTTTCAAAGATTTTACTTTTGTTAAATACGAGAACGATGAATTTTAAAAATATATCATCATTTCTGGCACATCCTTAATGCGCATACACAACATTCTATACTCACTCTGAATTTATATGTATGAGTACGAAAATGTTTAGATCATCCACATATTCCTATACAAGACATTATTACATCAGATAAAATATCAATGTGCCAGAACCAATAGTCAACCACTGTCAGTTGTGAATAGTTGCATCTGAAAGCAGAATCTGTTTACTAAACAGTAATAAAGGCTTAAAGAATAGATGCTCAATTCTATATCTTGCTGAGAGATTTATTCTGTTTTCGTGAACTCCTGAAAGAAAACAGTTGAATCATTGTATAAAGGTGTCGAATTCCTTGTTTCTTTCAATATTTTCGAATGATATATTAGGACAATAGAAAAACTTTCGATTTTGATTTGTCTCATTTATTTCTATCAAAAAAAGCCTGACGCTGTAAAAGCTAGTTGAGTATTGCAAAGCTTTCATACAGAATTTTTCCTTCGTACAATACTTGATTTCGTGCCGAAATGTAAAATTCGAAGTCTTTCTAAGACAAATTCTTTTTTGAAATCTTATCACACTTGATCACATTGAATAGAAAGAGAGTGAATTCCCTAGAAAATCAATCAAAAATGAATTCGTCGAATATTTCAAATAGACAGTCGAACTGAATGTCTTTTGTTAGAAATGACTTTCGATAATGATGTGTTGTTCTTAGATAGTATTAGTGAGTTGAATGCTCATTTGGTAACGTGTGTTCAATTATCAGCACCGGAGCACACAAAACTCGAGTCCTGTCAAAGATGAAAAAGCTGAACAGAAGAAAAGCCTTGCCATAAAATACTAATATCTTTCTACAGTAGAAACAATATGACGTACAAAAAAACAAAAGTTACCCCAATACTCAAATAAAACAAATGCGCTGGTTGTATGTATTTCAGTATTAGTTTTAGAAAACCGATGCTTTACTCGACTAGTGCGTTGCTTCATGCAAATTCAAAAAATGGAGTTATCCACTCAACAAAAAAAACTTAACCATTCAAAA